GTATATAGATATTCTGTGAATGTTGGCGATGGTTTTTTCAAATACTCTTTTGCCTGTCTCATACCTGGCGAGTTGTTCCACCATTCTTGAGATTTGGTTTGCATCCATGATTTGATACTAGTCTTCTGTATAGCTTTCGCAATACCACAGAGCTATGTTTGCTCCTGCTCGGGCAAGTGAGTCTGCCTCTTCATTTTCCTCGTACGCTGTATGTGCTGGTACCCATGCTAGAGTCAGTCTGCTCTGACTGCCCAGATGGCCGCCTGGCTATCTGAATAGATTGCAATGGTTTTGCCTTTAAACTCCTGCCTTATAAATTCTCTCACGCAATGATGTATTGCAATAACTTCTGCCTGAAACAACGTCGCGTATTTACCTAAGCTCAGTGAGATTCTTGTCTTTGGCTTGGCCCCATGAATACCAGCTCCTGATCCTTCCTCAGTTTTGGAGCCGTCCGTATGGACAGCAATGTCTGCATTGATAGGAGGTCCTTCCTTCCATGCCTCTCTATCCGTTATACTCATTTTTAAAAATTTTCAAAGCTATATTTTTGAATTATACCAATAATAGGTATAGGTACTCGATATCTTAATCTAGAATGCTGCTTATCAGGGTGTCCCCAAAAAGTATGTAGAAAATCTCAGCACATATCACTGAGGTCAAAATAAGCCGATTTGATTTATAGCGACTTACCTTTGTACGAAATGGCTCAGTTTCCGAGATACAGGGTGGTAATGAGAAAAGAATGAGAGTAAATTGAAAAATAATTTTGTTTACTGCTGATTCCCTGACCAGCTATAAAGTTTTAACAGCCATTTTGTATTCAAAATGATTTGAATGTTCTGGTGCGGCATCGAACACAAAATACCTAAATATCTCGAAATCTGCCCACTTCAGCGAATTTTTGAATGACTACCTTCTTTGCTTGAAAATTTTCAGAATATTTTTTTCACGACGGAAAAAGTGAATAACTACAGTGATGAGAAAGTTATCACCATTCCAAACCATAAGAACTGTATTGGTAAGCGCCCTCTACTGGCAACAGTGAAAAGGTGTCCATTTTCGGATTTTGCATCTCAAAAAACCCCTGGAAACTATTTTTGAAAGTGATACATTCAAGAATGTTCATAAATTCAGTAGGTATTCGATTTCTATTTTTTAACTCTTCCACCTTGTATGTCGGACAAGGAGCAATGAGGTAAGATCCGCCGAATCGGATCATTTTGACTTCAGTAATATGTGCTTAGATTTTGTGCAGACCTTCTAAGGACACCCTGTACTGGATTATTCAAACTTCCCGCCCTTGGATTATGACAGAAAAACTGCAAATGCAAATTTGTCAGAGGGGATATGAGAAGCTTTGTATGAGGTACCTATACTTTTTCGTGTTTAAATTTTCTTCAAGCACTTTCAAAATACCGGAAATGGCGTTGAAAAATATTTTTTCAAAAAGTCACCATTGTCTTCCACCTTCTGGAAGATGATATTTTTTTGAACAACTTTCATCCCAGAAGTTACCTTCTATCTTCATTTGTTTTGAAGCTATGAGTTTCTGAAGTTGGAATGTTTGTTTAAACTTACTCCGCTTTAATAATAATCAATTCGGCCGGTTTTAGTTTCAATGGGTATTAATATGAATGCAAAATTCCAATTCATATTGTTCACAAAACAATTTGTTTCCTGGCTGACTTGATTTTTATTACGCCAGGGTCAATTGATTTATACCAACCAAATGAAGATGGAATAAAACTTCTTGAATGAAAGTTGTTCGAAAAAATACCTTCGTTCTTTAATAATATGAGAAAAATAATGTATCTGACTCTGTGAGAAATATAATATTTCTGACGTCATTTCCGCCATTTTAAAAAGGGTTGAGAAATGTTTGAATATGAAAAAACATACCTCACACACAGCCATTCAAATTGCCTCTGCTACATTTGCATTTGCAGTTTTTCTCCTCTTGTTATGTTCACGTAGACATCATGTATATCATCAGGAATCCTGATATGAGTTCTGTAGTATTGTTCCGTATTTTGAAGAATTGGTTAATTTCCTAATGAAATGCCTGAAACTCTCCTCATATAAAGCTTTCGCAACTGTTATTGCGCAGTAAATTCGAACAATTTCCTCAATTATCGTTCGGTGTTTTTACTGATATGAATGAGAGGTGAATTATCCTAGGATCTCTATTTCGTTCAGTATCTTCGAGTTCTGCTATCCTAGTATTTAGTCAAGTCTTCCACATCCACTTGCTTCCCCATATTCTTATCAATACTCGGGAGATCACATGAATTTTCGACAAAATTACGAACACAAATTGGAATCATCCATTGCTGAGTTATAATGTGAAAATACTCCTTTTCTACTAGGGTGCGGAAAAAAATGTTTCTCTCCGCACACTAGTGAAATAGTGAACCCAACACGTGCGTAAAGTGACTTTGCACTTGTTAGGTAAACAACTATATCCTGATATTCAGGCCCGGCTCTACTACACATGATATCACATAACGATGAAAATAATATGTCAATTACCATGGATATACTGCTTTTCCGCTATGACAAGAAAAATAAAAAACATCTTTGGACCACCATGGCGCCCTCTCAGCTACGTCGCATTCAGTTTCCAACAGTATTCAGATTCCTCCTACGCAGGCAATTTCCCTGGCAGGTATATCTAAGATAATTTCACAGACTATAAAATTGTTATTTCAAATAATTCTGGAACATTTGCATTACGAATAATCTCGATCTACTAACCTAAGATCTAAGCCCAATAAGTTGTATATTATCTCCTCACAGGGTTTCTACATCAGGTACGTCCGAGTTTTTCATATCAGCATCTCAATGTTAAATGATAGTCTCAATTTTCAATGACCAGTAGAAAGAGGAAATTCAATACTGCAATCCTTGTCACAGTCTTGAACATTCATTCCCTATGAAATTCTGATTTATGGTCGATGTCGGGCGATATTGTTTGCATAATTATGCCTTCTATTGGGTCACTTATTATCATAAAAAGAATAATGATATTTATGATAGGTATCACTAGCCAGTTCAGGTACTTGAGACCTTTCCCTGAGAAACTATACGCATTATCTTCAGATACAGAAAATGTCTGGCCCTAATGGAATTCAACTTATATACAGAGTATGTCACGACGAGCTTACACTATTTCTCTATCAAGAATCAGTCGAGATATCTCCACGAAAATATACGTGCTCATATTCTAGAATACGCTCTTTTTATTCAACATAATTTCAGCAATACAGTGTTGCCGCTTCTATCAAAAAGTTGCAACAACTTTGTTTTCATTCATAGAACACCCTATATTTTATTGCATTTTCAGATTCACCCTGAAGAGCTGATTTCATCGATAAATCACACTTGGGGTCCATCGGAAATGATTACAGTGATATAGGGTGTTCAAAATCGAGATTTTTCAACTTGAGGATTTGTTTGTGAAGAAACTATTTATTATCGGCCAAAACGGCTCATATGTCCATATCTCAACTTTAAGATTTACATTTTACTGATATTTAATTGGAATAGTGAATTGAAAGTCGAGATTGGGCCATGTGAGCCGTTTTGACCGATAATAAATAGTTTCGACACAAAAAAATCATGAGGTTGAAAAATCTCGTTTTTGAACATCCTATATCTCTGTAATCTTTCTCGATAGACCTCTTTTCAGAAAAAAAAACTGAAAATGTAATAATATACAGGATGTTAATATTGAAATATAAATATTGCAACTACTTTCTAGTAGAAGCCGCAACACTGCATTGTCGAAAATATTTAAAATGATGAGAGCGTATTTTGAAATATAAACATGCACATTCTCATGGATTTCTCCTTACTGGTTCTTGGTATGAAGTTAGTGTAAGCTCGTGGTGACATATCCTGTATACTGGTATTAGTCGTTTAAGACTATACAGAGAATATTGGCCTCAGTAATAGATCATCACTAATCATTCTAATATATGAGGCAGCATTAGGAAATCTGCAAAGGATTTATCATCATTTTCAGTTTCGTTGAATGAGAATGAGCCAAATAACCTAGAGATAAGGACCTATTATATTCATCAGACTTTTATCTGGGTGTCATATTATAGTATCACTTATAAAAGAGTTTTCCTATGTGAAAAATGATTTTTCGCCAGCAAGGGCATCAGATATAGCATGATCATCTACAATGTGATTATCGATCAATCGAATGATCGACTTAACTGAAGGAAAATTATTCGAAATTTCTTGAGCTTCTCTTCCGAACGCAGCCCACCCTTTCCTAAGTTGAACCATAATATAATATATATAAATTCCAAATTGAATCAACCCATGCATGTTTCACAAGATTTTGCAATGACGAACGGAGTGAATATATTAACTACGTGTGGAGATGATCCATCCAAGAGGGGGAGAAGGAAACTTATTGATGCTTCGCATGATCAAAATGTCTCTAAAAATATGTACCGGAATACAGCCACCATCGTGAAACTACATTGTAATTATATCGGAAGACGAGCTCGAAAAATTTCGATTAATCCTCTTTCAGGTAAGTCAATTGATCTATTTATTTTTCTTCACCCTTGAGTAGGGCCTGTTCAGCGGAATAAAAATATTATTAGTATTGAACGAACACACACCCAGCACAACAATTAGAATTGAATGAGCACTAGAGCAGCCAGCCGAATACGCTTTTATTCAACATACAACAATGAAAATTGAAGTTGATTTTGGAATGCTGTAAAAAAACTCTGTTGTCAATTGATCTCTTTATTCGTTATGGAGACCTTTAATGATAGAAGCAGGTTCCTTTCATTATGTTTTGCTCTCCTTGTAAATAGTCATTTTGAGCTACAAGTATCTTTAATAATATATTGCAAGTCAAATACATGAGAATCCGTGAATATTGATACAAGTTGTCTGAAAATTTCATGTAGATGTATGAAATATTGTAATTTTTTCAATATATAAGTACTTCTGTTATACACTTTTCTTTCTCATTGGGCAGTTTCGTCAATATGATTATTCTTGTCCACTTGGAATTTTTCTTCTTCCGATGATTGTTCTAATAAGCCAAGTTCTTTCAAACTTCTGTGGTAAACAATTCCGGCACCAAACGCGTCACCCATGACGTTGATAGCTGTTCTAAAACGGTCACTGTAAATGAAGAAAAAAAAAAGTGGAAATTGTAGATGGATTCTCATATGTTTTATATGCACGTCTACTCACTGAAGTATGAGACTTGTTCAGTAGAGAAGAAATCTAGGGATATTCATTATCATTTGCGGAGAAAAAAGCTCAATATATTGAATGTCAGTTTTTGCAGAAGGCTATGTAGAAATCAATTGATACAGGTGGTTCAAAAACAAGTGGCTTTATTGTTAGGATAGGTAGAACACTGAGAAATACGTTGGATTCGCTCAGTAATAAATGTTCGTAAAATCATTTTCATTCAACTGCATGCACGGTGTTGAAAAACAATGCCCACGAATATGTTGTATGTATGAAAATATCCTATGAAATTGAGTATCGACATCCTTTTTCGAACCAGATGAATAATTTGTTGTATAATGTTCTACTTTTGGATGTTCAACAGATATAATTCGACATGGCAAATAGCCAGGGAAGTAGTTGTTCTCTGTGCACTATTCAGAAATGATGCATATGCATACATATTTTTATCTGAAGAAGAATGCGAATTATCAACTTCCGAAGATTTCATTTTTCAATTGTTATCGTGTGTGTTCAATAGATATCATTCAATGTTCGTCGTGGCATATAGCCAGGAAAGTAAGTGTTTCAATGTATTTCTTGAAGTATATATTTTTTTTCGTATGTTCATAAAATATCTGACAATATTCCTTTTCAATACTTTTATACCCAATCAAGAGGTTCAAACTTGAACTATGGAAACTTGATATTTTTATAGGCCTCTAATCACGGATTCGTGATTGGGTTTTCTCAATTCAGAATGTCTTTTCACGTCCTGTATGATGCATATCAATTTGTCATACAACTATCAACAGAATAAATATATACTTATAACCCCCCGTGCATGGTATTATGTTATGAGTAGAATTGTTGGCAAAACAAATTGAAAAAAAAGTCGTTCATACCCTTCCATTAGTAGGATTATGCTAAATGAAACGCTAGTGAAATATAAGTTCATATTGCCTGAATTTCAATTACATTATAAAATTAAGGTGATATAGATGATGCATTCATTATGAATAATGTATTCAGGGTTGGTTACTCAAAACTGTCTTGCGTTCTTGGCAATGAATCAAGAGTTCGTAGGTAATAGTATTTTGAATGATCGAATGTATTCATTAACGAAATACAAATCCCTTAGATATTGAGAAACAATTATTTCACATTCGTTCGTGTAATCTTTATGATAGGTGCCTACTCATACCTTTATATTCTCATGAAACAAGGTCATATTTGGCAAGTGGTTTATGTGTTTAATAACAAATCTAAGAATCTGAGAGATCTGATTTGTTTATTGTTCAATGATTAATGAATTGCGACATGCTTATCTTATCATAATTGACTTTTCGGTTATTTTGAAATTGAATTGTATGATGAGACCGCCCAATTTAGATTTCATTATGAATATACAGGGTCTCCGGGAAAATATGGGAACTCTCTTGGATTCAGATTGAACCTGAAAAAATGACATGACCAGTTCCTATGAAAATGTTCAATGTACAGTAACTCCTCCGGGAGACATGGGCCGCTATAAAGTATAAAGGACGCTGCTGGAAGTCGGTTTCAGTGGAATAAATTTCTAAGTTCTCGATGTTAATGAATAAAAATTTGATGTCTTCTTGGAATTGGGTCCTTAAAACATATTTGCCTCTCTCTCTTAGTTCATCAGCGGTGGACTGAGTTTAATCTTTTAGGCTCAAATATTCAACAATCCGTATGATAACGGCCTGAAATTTAATATGGGTACCTCTAAAAAGGTGGTTACTCTTGTTCATTGTTGGTAAAATGAACCGTTTATAAGGAGAACTATGATGAACAAATCAATTTTCGATTCTTCATAAAAATTCATCACAATTAATTATACTCAATGAGAGTGTTCACCATGGGCTCCGCAAATTACAGTATTAATATTTTCCTCAGAAGAAGTTAATTGTGTCGACAATAAACAAGAGTATGTTTTAGTAGTTCCAGGTTCGAGCTACCCAAATTATTTTGTTGCCTTTATCTTCCGGGATGTTAAAAATGTTAGCCTGTAAGGTAAATGAGGTCCACCCCTGATGAACTCAGAGAGGCCAATTTGTTTCAAGGACACATTCAAGTAGTCGTAGCTAGTGTTCTCCATATAAAATATTCATTGCATTAATTATATCAATTATCTATCTGAAGTGGAGCAGTGTCGAACGCAGTAACTCCTTCAGTCAAGTAAATGAATAAAAAATATGAGAGGTAGGAAGAATAGTGCCATAAACAACATACTAAAAATCCTGACCCGTAAGGGATGAGCAAGGCGGTAGGTGATCAGCAGGCGGTAGGGGAACATTTGGTGGTAATTTCTTCAGTTGTTTTCGAATAATTCGAAAATGTGAATATACAAAATTGAAAAACATGCCATCAAATAGTGTCTATCCATTGTTCGTCCACAATGGATATTTTCTGAGATACAGGGGATGAAAACATCGAGAAGTTTCAAAATCAGAGCTATATAGTTTCAAATTCATGTTCAATGTCTCATATCATGAAAATGGTGTTTCTCGTGGATATGAACAAAATAAATACATTACTCATTGAGAAATGACATATTGAAAATATACGTTTCGATAATTAACGATTAATCATCATCTTCATTCACATTTTTCATAATCAGCAACGGTGCACCATTCACACACGTATCTAACAGGGCACATGGCGCACACCATGAAGCATGGAATTCCAGCATTTCGGCATCTTTCGGCATCCACTTCGTCTGGCACATCTTGCCCACATCCAATAAAACATCGTCAAAAGATGCTATTTATTATCGTTTCAGGTGCTTTTCTGTTTTTGATTTTTGGTGGGATGAGCAATTCATCCTCCCCTCGATTTCTGCATTCAGCTAAACGTGAACGTATAGGGAATGCTGTGACGTTAAAGGCTGTTGCTCTGAATGGGCTCCTCTCATTTTTTTTTATTGAGTCAACGCCAATATGCTGCTTCTCGTAGAATGTCCTTGGAACCGTAGGATTTTCCACCTACCTCGAATACATAGGTTAGGTTGGGCAAGGTTCCATGTGAGTAGGGCGAATCCTGCCTCTCCACTACGACCCCAGATGGGTCTATTGTGGCTCACTCCTAGAGGTTACAGTTCACTGTACAATCCACTTCTCTTTATAATAATAATACCTCATTTTCCACTAAGACAATATTACAAATTGTATAGGAAATTGTCAGAACATGAAAAGGAGAAAAAAATACAGAAAATGTAGAAGACGATTCAAAGAACAAGAGCTTTATCTGGTCTGAAAATTCTGTCCACTAATAAAAACATTTTTGCAACCAAAAACTGTTGAGAGTCTTTTTGAAAAGAGCAAGATGCTCTGCATTTCTTATGTGGTCAGGTAGTTTATCGAAAATTCTTCTTCCGATGTGCTCAGGTGAACTGGAGGTTACTCTTAGTGTAGCACATGGTACATGAAATTGATTTCTGATAGGGACGGACATTTTCAATCACTCCAAAAAGTGACCTATTATTATATATATACAAACCTATTTTTGACATATATATATAGAATAGATACTAACGTTAACACATTAAAATCTTTAAAGAGTGGTTTACATGATTCTCTGGCCGAGACCTTTGCAATACATCGCAATATGCGTTTTTGGACAATGAGTACATCTTGAAATACCCCAAAAACACACACCATTCCTAAGTCTTGACTCTACTTGATAGTAATAAATATTCAGCAGTTGAGTTCTATTCGAAACCAAGCGCAAATTCATAGAAAGAAACTTTGGGGAATCAAGCTTGGAAGTTGAGTGTTGACAGTGGACATTACAGTTCAGAAACTTGTCAAGGAACATACATAGAAACTTTACAAAGCCCATGGTTGAATGAAGTGTAATTTGTCTAAAATCGATTGGCTCTAAATTGATAGAGACGAATATGTCGAACCTGCGACTCTTTGAGCAAGAGCTTGAACATAGTATCGTCTTTCACACAGCAGAACCGACAGCGCACTTGTTGGTTCAGATCCATCCTTCCTAGTTTACCCATGCTCCATTCTAGGATCTGCCTGGTCTTTTCTTCCGTTGGTTTAGGCAGGAACGCCTTCGAATGGGTTGATTCTGGTAATTCAAAACAGTGCGTGAGTCTTATTCCCTCCGCCCAGTCCGAGATAGTTGTTTTGGCCACACTTGCGGGGACACCAAAGTATGGTTCTGGTCCTATGAACACAGATTCGGTTGCCTGTTTAACAAGGATACAAATACATAACATACGCTGATGTCCTAAGATTCAATATAGAGAAGAGCCATTCGCCGGGTAGGTGATGCCAGACTCACTGAATCTCTGACATCATCGGAACATCGTAGAAAAAGTCGGCTCCCTTTCACTTTTCTTCATGTAGAAACGTTACATAAAAAATGACTGACACCATCAGACCCACAAATTAAACAATTCTCATCCTCACAAATTGAACACTTTACAGTCTTTCCTCACAAGTTGCCATGATGATATATGAAATCAATACTTCAATACTGAGGGTTACAAAATGTGACTACACAGCCCTTCCCCAAGAAAAAATACAAATCAAAATGTATTACCTTATTATTAATAACTGACAATTACTCATTACATAGGTAATCTCTCCAGGTTGACAACTCACTGCCATCATTTGATGGGAAGCCCATACGTACTATTCACGTCTCGATTTACGTTGAACACTTTTTTCATGATATGAGACCTGGAACATGGATTTCATACCACTAAACACTATGTTTGATAATTCCCGATTGTTTCGTCATCCGTATCTCATAAACTCATTCATTGTAGACGGATAATAAATGGAATATTTCTTATAGGAAATTTCATATTGTTTAATTGTTTTCTTATATTTTTTTGCTAGAGGTCGTGATTTTCGAATTATTCGAGAGCAACTTGAAAAATATGGTATTGAATGCAGTCCTTC